CTGTTAAAACTCCATATCCAGACTTCTCCAGTCTTTTGTCTCTTACTTCTTTCTTTTTCTTAGATCTCTGTGTGTCGATGCTTTGATCGAGCTGTCGGATGAAAATGCTGACTGGAAGCTGAGTTTGACTGAGTTTATCAACTGCCTTACGCCCACCTACCACCCAACTGAGAGAAGTAAACATGCATACACACAAGCAGCAACATAAGAGTATGAAACTGGACACTTTTTGTGTTTGTGTGATTGACATTTTTATAAGACTTCTATTTGCTTTTCTCCATTGTATTCAACTTTGGATTTATCCTAACACTGTTTAATATTTGAAGACTATTATTTACTCGAACAAAGAGTTTACTACTTAGGGATGTATGTATAAACCCTCTTGATTCTAAAAAAGGAACATATAATTACACAAACACATACTTAGTGGCAAAGTATGTGTAAGAGCCAATTAAAGGTTAATTTTATTGGTACTTGTAAAATGATTAGAGGAGAAATATACATGTTTGATGTTAAGAATACGGTTTCTAGTTAATTTCAAAATACTGTTTTGTTAAAGGTATAGAATATAGAAGTGCGACATTCTAATGCGCTTTTTAGTATTTTGGGCTTCCAGCACACTGTAATTACGTAGTTGGGGAGTCGGATAAGCTGGAAGCAACACAGTGTTTTGACCGAGTCTTGCCATGTAAACTAAAAGCTTCAATAAATATCGTTTTTGCAAGAAAAGTACCTGGACTTGCTCGCGTTTCAAATGCATGTTGCCGGACTGACTCCTAAAGGTGGTACAGAAGAGTGAAATAGAGACGGAGTGCCGCCACTACAGTATGTTTAACTCAATGTATGATCTACATCAGGAGTGTCGAACACAAGACTCACGGGCTAGAATCAGCCAAGCAAAGTTTTGGATAATGTGAAGAAGAGCACATATTTTGGACTATTTTAATGTATTTTCACACATTTTACAGCATCTGATCCTTTTACAAGAATTTTTATTAAAAACTGAAAACTGAAACTTTTTATATTTTTTAAGGACAAGAAAGTCAGCTGTTCTTCTGTTTATTACATTGTGTTTTATGTGTGTAGAGTGCGCTCTGGACGACGAGGTCTTTGAGGATGGAGCTGAAACTCAGATGGAGTGCAACAAGTGTGTGTGCGCCTGCGGAAACTGGGTGTGCACCGCTCTGACCTGCAATGGTGCGAGTTCACATAAAAACACTGTAGTCGTATTGTATGACTGCTGCATTTGTTCCGTTTCTGCCCGCTGCTGTGTTTATCTTTGCAACATGTATTTCAGGAGAGCATCAGGTTGATGAAGATACTGATGAAGGAGGAGAAGATGAAGAAATGACCGAGGAAGAGTGGAGCAGGAGGGTGGCTGAACTCAATGCTTTACAGGTCGACAGTCTCTCCTGAAACAATATTATTAACCTTTAAATTGTTATTCACAGAGATGTTTAATCTCAACATAAAAGTTACTCAAATTTAGACCAGAGTGGCAAAAATACATTTATTTCTTCTGAATAAATAAATGCATTAAAATGCAGAATAAGGGAGTTTAACAGAAAGGCACAACCAGAAAGAGTTCCACTTCCAGGTTTTCAATAATTGTTGATTGAATATTTTTTATTAATTAAAACTATTAACTTAAATAAGTCATTTAAATGTACAACTACAAAAATCTTCTGTAGTAATGTGATGCACACATGATTGGTATAAGTTTAACCCTTTAAAACCGGTCAGAGCGGGCACGCTCCGTTTTGCGCAACTACTTTTAAATCCCGGTAGCACTGCAACCACATAAGCTAGCGCAATAATTTTTTTTGCATATGAAACCGGAGGAGTTTTACTTACATCTTATGCCATCAGCTTGATCTAGGTCACAGTTTCCTTCCACATATAGCTTTGCAAAAACTGCATAAAAAAGCACTTGCAGCAACAAAAACATAATATTCCAGAAACACGCTTTGCCGATCCGATCAGCTGTTCATAACACTTCCTACGTTGGAATAGACGTTAGCGTGAACTATCGCATGTCCGCCATGACCTGCCCGAAGGGTTAAACACTACCTGTAGATAGTGTTTAAACTTATACCAATGAACGTCTCTTTTACCTGTTTCAGGCATCTGTCACCATGCAGAACTGAGGTCCTGAGTCACAACAGCCAGTCATCAGCTGAGCGGCCTTCCGCTCCAAACATGAGGAACAGGTTTAGTTTAAATAGCTGTTGTTATGATTCTTATGAATGATTCAACACATTTTATTTGTGTGAACTGTTAAATCACTTCTAAACATTATTCTACCTCTTATTTTGTTTCCTGAATTTAATACGCTCAAGTTGGTTGCTAATACACAACCCGTTTTTAAAAAATGTTTTTAATTTGTTATTGATTGCTTTATACTTTTAAAGAATGGAATTATATTTTCTGGCTTTTGAAGAGCACATGAGCACGTTTTTGTTTTGTTTTTTCATTTTTTGATTGATAACTCTGTCTAAACTTTGATTTCCCTCTGTATTAATGAACAAGTATTTATGAAATCTAATTTCTTATGATCAGTGAAACAAACAAACTGATCCCAATGCTGTTTGTTTTCTTGGGGTTTGTAATGAGATACTACTTTAACTGTTTTGATAGTGAAAGCTATTTTTTGTATCATTTTTTATCTAATAAAAATGAGCGTGAGAAGCAACTATCGAATTTTTTATTATTATTCATTGTTCAACACAATATATACAAATGTTGTTTTAATAAATAACAGTTTACAAAATATCAAGGTTTAAGGATTTATTCTGAGAAAAAAAGAAAGAAAAAAGATAGAAAAACATTAAAACTGGTTAAATACTTACATTATGCTAAAATAATACATCCAATCATCAATAAGGTCTCCAAACAGGCTCCTCCCCTCTCATGGAAAGACATGCCCCTTCAATGTAATTGGTCAGTGCTGTGACAACATTGCGGTCCTCCCCTGTGGTTTGGAATGGTTGGTTGGGCCCGTAGTGGAAGCTGCCGGCCTGGAATGGACCACTGTGGCTGAGCGGAGCGGGGGGAGGAGGAGGAGAAGACAGATAGGAACTGTATGGAGGAGGTTGGGTAGAGTAAGGGAGAGCAGGCAGGTGGTGCATTCTGGGCGTAGGAGCGAATGAAGATGCCAAAGAGGTCACTGGGCCCAGAAAGGACTCATTCATCCACAGAGAGGTGGAAGGAAAGGATCTGCATTCTGAAGCGAGACAAGAAGCATCAACATCAGTGTTTCTCCAGAACTCGTTGTCTTCTTTTGTTGTTTGCTCAGCTGTCATGTGACATGAGCATGACCACGCCCCACTACTGTTTCATAAGATTAAGTTTTCTTTCTAAAAACTAAAATTACAAATGAACAACATAGTTTTTGATTTTAAGTGGCCTTGCTGTGTCATTCTTGCTGTGACATTTTCTGTCTTACCTGATGAAGCCGTGCTGCTACTGATGCTGCTGGTGGGCCTAAAAACTCCAGCCTTCATCTCCTTCTGCCTCTGACCTGAGATCAGAAGAAATAAAGTTAAAACCTGCCCGGATCACCTCAGAATTGATCCAATCATACTGTTTTCGCTCGTATTTACTAACGTCTGGGCAGCCGTGGTCCGTCCACGGTAATCTTGATGGCCCTGTGTAGGGTGGCGATCTGAGGAGGTGATGTCAGCACGTTTATCGTCAAGGTGAAGCTCTTACCTTTAAAACGATAATAAAACATATGCACACATGAAACTAGTTGAGTATACTTTATATACATTTGCCTACTTTGTTTTTATTTACTTAACTGAATCAAATTTTTTGTCTTATTCACTGTTTTTTTTGACTGCTCAAAACTTTTCACTTATTAATGTACTTTATCCAGCGTTATTTCTATTGTATTTTAATTTATTTTTAAAACTCTTAATTGTATTTAGTGTGTTCTTTATTTCTTTTAAATCTTATGGCTTTTTAATTTATTTAAATGTGCTCATGATTACACATGATTTGCTTTCTTTTACTCAGTTTTGCTCTGATGTTATTGATTAAGAAACAAATTAATTAACTAGAGTTAATTAATTCTGGCTCCATAGCTTGATTATTGATCTAACTTTACGGGTATTCAAATATTTAAAATAAACATATAACAACAACTAAATGTTTTAACTGTGTGATTGCAGGGCACTGCAATTGCAAATAGTGTAAACAGCGTAGACAGAGGTGGTAAAGATGGCAGGCTACAGTCTTTCCTCTTGTTTATTGACAAACAAGTATGAATAACTTGTAACAGTGCTGCATGTATCTGTTTGTATACCTCTGCCGCTGCGGCCGATGAAGCGGAGGTCGTTGAAGTGGGCACAGCCTTGCTTCATGGTGGCTGTGGCATTACGTAGCTCGGCGCTAACATTTTCATCATTGCCAGCCATCACTGTCACAACCACGCCATCAGGCACATCGTTCCCCAGGGCAACAACCTGAGAAATTAAAAAAAACATTGTAACAGGTCTTTTATCTTTGTGAACAGAGGATTTTTACTCTTTCAGTATGAATAAACTGTATTTTGGTTTAAAAATAGCACCAGTGTATATGTAGATTACTCACAGTAAAGGCTCTTGGTAGTGTTTTATTACACCTCCAGTGCTGAGGCAGGCTGCTGCAGAGGAAATTTGGGCTGTCGGTCGGGACCAGTCCTCTGGGTGGAGCTGTACTGCACTGGTGGAGACACCTCAGCTCCTGTTCATCCAGTTGACGAGTGCTGGCTGATGGTGACAGGCGGCACTTCACCACAGGATCTTAA